GATGTTCCGGCGAATTTGGTGGATTCATGTCTTTTGGCACGAAATGCACATTATTAGACTCGTTCCACTCCAACACGCTCCGAGCTTCGCTTGAGTTGAACCTTTGTGCTTCCTCAGAGCTGCTTCTGAAGACACTCTTTCCTTTACATTTCATCGTTTTTGTTCCAGAAGTGAAGCTTTCATTTCGTCATATTCACAAATAGCCTTCCATGCTCTGGAACGGCAAACTACCCAAGTAACCAAAAGTGCCGCAGTCAACGATTAAAATCACTTCCAAGTTCCATAAAGTTCAAATAAAGTTCCGACAGAACATTCAAGTTCCATAAAGTTCGAATAAAGTTCTGACAGAACTTTCAAGTTCCACAAGTGTGATGGAATACCAAGCGGGCAAACACCAATTTAAAATTCATCAAGGTGTTGTGTTTCATATTCAAGTCAGTCAGCTGGCTCAGAAAACTCTAACAATAGGCGGGACAACAGCTCACTTTAATATATTTCAGATGACGTAGCGGTTCGTGCTGAGACTCTCACGCAGAAGGACTAGGTTTAATACTTCAAACAGCTCCATTACTACTACTAATGCTGATAAATCAATACACATTAATACCTGCCTGTAGAAATAACTTTCATTAAAGTACGAACTAAACATAGAGTTTGGTGTAGAGGGCAATTTTTTAATTTATTTTCTAAAAGTTCCGTTCAACTTCCGCCAGAGGCTGCTTAGAATGCTCTTCAATTATGGTACCGGAACTTTCAAGTTCTTATAACGACTTAAAAATGAGGCTGCTTAGAATTCTATAGACCACCTTCAACCAAGCTGCTTAAGTCATAAATAGCCTTTTATCAGAACTTTTGGTTACTTGGGTAGGACTTGGCGACGAAATATTCCTATCCGGTTAGTTGGCGGTAGTCGGCCTTAACGTAGTGTTCGTCGTCCATCACGATGCAATGCGGTTGGGCGAGCAACTGCATATAGAGCTTCCGGGCACGGGTTTGTGCGACCACATTTTGCTTCTCATTACTATTCGGTACCTTTTGCACTTTGTAGACATGAGATCTGGAACGTTCCATGGGTTTTTGGACAAAAAAGATTAACACCTTTAATATTATGGCGACATCTCGAATCGACAAGTTTGGCTGGCGCTTGAATACTGCTATCACCTTCTTGGTCATCTTCCGTTTCATCACAGACAAACAGACGTAACTCTTCATTGTGTACCTTCGTTCACGCATTTAACGGTTGATTTTAATATTATCAGTTCCGCGAACTACTCGCAGCAGCGCTGGCATCGGATCACTTTGACGTTTCTATACATTCTATAAAACTTTTATGCAATATTGTTAGCGAGTTAGCGAGCAAGCTTGTTTTCCGCGAGAAGCCCGAGAGATGTCGTTACTGAGGTCCTATGTTCTGAGATACTATGTTTTCAAGAAAAACTTTTTCAAAGAGTTACGTCTGTTTGTCTGTGGTTTCATAGTCAGACGCTCATTGAAGGTTTTCATCACACGAGATACGGTGGTAATAGCAATTCCAAGGTTCCAAGCGATTCATCTGATTTTCACTATGAGTCTACAAAATTTGTTCACCTATAATTTACTGTTTCGATGCCATGGCCGTACGTACTTCATGAAATATGAAACTTGACAGACGTAAACAATAGACGTTGAACTAGCTTCAAACAATGAGCAAGCACCTCAACAGTGAGTTGTTGTCGAAAAACAGACTATTGCGTGTCTCGCACCGAAAAAAAAACACACAGCTGCTTGTGTCAACAGCTACAAGCGAACTGTTCCTCGCAATTCTCTGGACTTCCATAAAATTCACTGGAATTCTTTGAAGCTCACTGTACTTTTCTGAAGTTCTCAGAAGTTTTAAAAGTTTCCACGATTTTCTTGAAGTTGATAGAACTGCCTTGAAGTTCTTTCTAAGTGTTAGAAACTAATTTAATGCTACTAGAACTTCCCCCAAAGTACCGGAATTTTTTTTGAATGCTAGAAAATTCCTGAAGCGTGTACAATTTCCCAAAATTTTCTCAAAACTTCTTTAATTTTTTGTATATTTGCCAGAAGTTAATAGATCTGCTCCTGAGGATCTCTGTTATTCACAGAAGTTCGAGAAACTTCTTAAGGTTATCAAATTCTCTAAAGTCCTTGCAATTTTCCTGAAGCTCTTGGAAGTGCCCTGAACTTTATATAACTTTCCTAAGAGTCACTGGACTGCTGTGAAGTTCTCATTTTTTATAAGTTTTCTAAACATCTCTGAAGTTCTCTGGACTACTTGAAAATTGGTAACTAACCCAGCGTAATGGTTAGCATCCATACGTCTCATGCTAAAGGTTCCGAGTTCAAATCTTATCCTCGGACAAGTCACAAATGACCTAAAAATATATTAAAAAAAAAATGAGACTTCTCAAAATTTCCAACTATTTTCCTGAAATTAAAGAAGCTGCAATGATCATCTATGAAGTTCACCATGTCTCGAAACTGCCCTGAAGCTAACAGAACTTTTTTTTAATGTTACCGCATTTAACTGATGATTTTTTCCCTTGATTTGGAGGAAGGCAGCTCCCACACCTACCACCCTACCTATCGACCCATGAACTCATAGACCGGGGACCAACGGCTTTACTTCCCTTCCGAAAGAAGTGATCAGAGATGTTATGCCCCAGAAAATCCCGGCGGTGCCAACTGGGATTGCACCCAGGCCTTTTGGTGGTGAGGGGCAATCACGCTTATCACTACACCACCGGCGCCGATAATTTTACTGATGATCATGCAACTTTCTTGAATTCTCGGAGTTTTCCTGAAGTTCCCGGATTTTTCCTAAATTTTTGTGGACTTCTATGAAGTTCCTGAATTTTTCCTGATATTCTATGGACTTTTGTGAAGTTGTTGAAGTTTCCATGGAATTTCTTAACTTCATTAAAACGTCCAGTTTGGGCTTCTCTGAATTTCTCAAAGCTTCTTTAAAGTTCCTGGCAAAATAATTAATGTTGTTCATACTTTTTTCAATGAAGTGCTCAAAATTTTCCTGAAATTCATTGAACTGTCCTTAATTTACGAAACTAATTTTCAACATCTTAAAACTTCCCCAAAACTCGAGACTATCCTGATGATTTATGTGCTTTCCTGATGTTATTGAAACTGCCCGAAAGATCTCTATACTACCTTCAAATTATCTAGACTGCCCTGATGCTTCCACACAAACTGTAGTTAATTTGATTGTCTTGAAGTTTCACGTTTAACCCTTTACTTTCCAGAGGGTTTTTGGTTGATTTGAGATGCACAGCCTAAAATTATCGAATGCATAAATAATGCTAATTATTTTTCAAAAGTTACTCAGTTGAATCCTCAAGAATACATATGGCCAAGAATATTGAGCTCACGGAGAAGCTTAAATAAGTACTGACTATTTAATGATAGATTGACTAACATGAGACCATATGCTTATGAGAGGCTTAAAGTTCCCGTTATTCCCCGTTTTGAAAACTTCGTTGAAGCTCGCAGAACAAAAATCTAAATCGAAAACCTCTTTCAGTGGTGGTAAGCGTGATTACCTCTCACCCCAGCAGGTCTGGGTTCAATCCCAGTCGGCGCCGCCAGGATGTTCTGATGCATAAAATCTCTAATCACGCCTTCCTTCGGAAGGGAAGCAAAGCCGTTGCAACGTTGGTCTCCGGTTCATGGGTTGATGGGTCGATGGGTAGGGTCCAGGCGTGGGAGCTGCCTCCCTGGCGTCGGTAGCACTGGTGCTCAGCACAGAAAACAAGATCGACGGAAAACAAGATCGACTGAAAACAAACCAAGGAAAAAAAAAGAAAATCTCTAATTTTCCCTGAAATATTCTGGACGTTCCTGAAGTTTTAGATTTTCCAAAAGGTTTAGAAACTTTCTTTACGTTCCCGCAGTTCCCTGAAATTATTCACTTCTCAGAACTTCTTTAAAGTTTACAATTTTTCAGAAGTTAATTGGACTCTCCTGAAGATCTCTAATCTTTCCTGAAGCTCACTGAACTTCTTTGATGTTCTCGCTATTCTCCTAGTCATGTTACTGCAATTGCCCTGAAATAAAGGGGACTGTCCTAAAGATCCTGAAACTTCCCTGAAGTTTTCTGGACTTCCGTGAATATTTTGGATTTTCTGTAAAATTTCCGATTTTTTCTGAAGTTTACGTAACCCAATTAGACAGCGTTTAAAAAGAATTTTGTAAAACTCATTACATGCATTAGATTTCGATCCCGAAAATCATTCTATGAATGTTTTATAGGACACAAAAGGTTCTTATAGTGTTGATTATGTTGTTGGTATTAAGTATATTTGTCGATTAACATTTTGTATGTATCTTGGGGTTAATATGACCCCAGGCAATTTTTTCAATCTTGATTATTTATTAAAACGATTTTTTTTCTCTGACCTGTTTGCATGCTAAAGTCTTTTTGATATGCCGCCTCTTAGTTGAGATACATTTCGAATTTTATTCAATACCCGTTTTGAAGGATTTTTGCAATGAACTTAGCTTTATTTTAAAGGAACAGACAAAGGGTTAAAAACACGAGAAATTGCATCTGTACAGTTCCATGTGGAATATCAAAAAGGTTGTCAATGATATCACGATAATTTACACTCTGAAATTGGAGTACAATCTTGAAAAAAAAATCACCTTTAATTTATTTTGATTTGCTTTAAATTTAACTCTGAACCCCCTGACATGATATAAATACCCCATTTCAATCCTTAATATTTTCAGAATAAAAAGATTTTTTCAAAATCCTTTAAAGCTTATCAAAACATGGCAAAAAATCAGATCAGAAATCACGAAGCTATGATAGTTTTATATATATTTTTCAGTATCAGACGTTGGGGATTTGAGAGTTAATCTTAGACTGTATCAATGTTATCGAAGTTTGCTGAATTAATTTAATCTATTGAAATGTGTGCGCTTGCTCTTCTAAATCATGTTACTCCACCGTACTAACATTGAAATTGTCTCCCCTTTCGAAGCGTACGACCTGGCAACGCAATGTGAATCCCGTCGTGCATCCATGCGTCGTCACACAATCATCGGGTGCAACCAAAATTACAAACTGGATCACCTGAGCAGTCAATCGATGCCTCCGTCGCGGCCAACTTCTCGACAATCGGACCATGGTCAGAATCAGACCCTGCCGCTACAACAGCCTCAACAATCGCAGCCACAGCAGCAGCAGCAGCAGCAGCTTGATCCAAAATCTGTGGTGGTCGCCGAGCTTGTCGGCGGTAGTGGCAGCAACAACATCTCATCGTTGGACACGTGGACCAAAAGTTCCCTCGACGAACACCAGTGGAAGGATACGTTCAACCTGAACGATCGGCTTTCGCTCACGCTGGAAGAGATTGTACATATCCGGTCGGTCATGACCAAAGCCGAACTGGAAGGGCTTCCGGTGGACGTGCACATCAAGGAGGATGTCGAGAAGCGGAAGGTGTGCTTCCTGTGCTTGCGAACGCGGTTCACGCTGTTTGCGCGGGGAATCCTCTGCAAGCTCTGCCAGCGGACGGTTTGCAACAAGTGCAATCAGAAGGTTTGGATTAGAACGAAGATTTATTTTGGAAGGTTGCTTATTATATTTTAATCGGGACCATATTTCAGATGCGAATACCTACCGAACATTTTCGAAATGTTCCCGTGGTGCTACTGTCGCCATCACTGATGAACAGCCCCTGCACCTCGAATACACCGTCACCCAGTCATCATGCGCATGGTGGTGGATCGGGTCCGCACAGTTTGGTGGATGAGTCGTTTCCGCGGTCGCTGATGGAGCGGCTACTGCGGCCTGAGTTAGACCGGAGGGTAAGCTTGAAGAGAAGAGTCGCTAGGTTCCATCAGATTAAAAATTTTACATTCCTGTTTCCTAGACTCGCAATACAGTCGGTAGCGCTCCATCGTCACCAAAGAACCAACGCTCGGCTTCCAGCACACCGGGCACCAGCCTGCAGGGTGAACCCCTATCGCTTCCGCTGTCCCATCCGGCAACAGCAACCACTATGAACGGTGCCAAAGAAAGTACAACCGCAGCAAACAGCAGCCGGAGTTCGCTCATGTCCCGTAGCATGGAAGGACCGCACAGTCTACCGCCGCAAAGCCCCGCCCGGCCACACTCCAACAACAGCACACTGGATCGAAGGTATGTACCTCATGGTAGTTGGCATTTTCTAATTAGATGACCAGCCCAGTCTAACGGTCGTTGATAGTTCTTCCAGGAATCGATTCGCCAAAGCGTTCACGCTGTCGGCGGCTGCGGCAACGCAAGGGTCCGCCCTCGATCCCCAAAAGGAACGGCTCACCGGGGAACTGATGGCTGTCTGCAACGACTGCCGCAGTCTGGTGCTGGAAATCATTCGTTCCTCGCGACAGACGCGATCCTCCGCACAGAATCAGGCATTGCGCAACCTAACGCTGGATCTTTCGCCCGTCTACAAACGCTAGATCTCCTGCGAAAGAAAAAAAAAAACAAATCTGTCTGTTTGTGTGCGTTTACAATATGTGTTTTCTCCTCCCTCTTCCGCGCAGCAACTTTCCCCCCAAAAGGTGCTAATTTGTGCTCTAACATTAGCGAATCGTTTGAAGCGCAGCTTGAGACTTTGTTGATTCGCGTTTCCCCAGTTGTGAAAAATCAAATTTGAAGCCGAACAATCGTTGAGAAAAGTGATTGAATTCTATTTATCTTATATTTATTCTGTAATTTATTACGAGAGTATTCTTTAATTTTCAAAAGTACTACTAACGTTTTACTAGGATTTTTTTTTGAGTAGGAATAAATTTAGCACATCGGGCAAGGCGTTCGAATTAGTCTGATCCCTCCGCTAACGTAATAACCACAAGATGCAGATAGATCTCTTCGGAATTTTGAGATGTTTGTTTATTTTGTTTCGTTTTAGGTTTGATTTGAACACTTTGATTGAAGTACCTATATATCTCACTATCGATTCTTTTTTTATGTATTCGAGTTCGCGTGTGTTTTTTGAATTTGATTTTTCGCAATTTGCTTTGTTGGCATTATCATCATTATCACTTCAAAATTAGGCATTAGCTGTTTTATAACATAAACACGAAAAACTAGATGATGAAAAATGGTTAACCGAAACTACAAAACGCTTACACAAATATGCTTAAAAGTGTTACGAGGTTTGATTGAGGGGCGCGAAACCGTCTCTTCGGGGACGTGGAATAGGGAAAAAAAGGATAGGGAAATTGTAATTGTATAAAATTGTATCAATACCACATATAAGTAGCCGTGACTTGTTGAAATAATAAAACAAAACAGAATTCAAAAAAGGATGATGCAAGAATACGTTAGAGTAGCTAAAACCAAATTTACTGCATGCTGCAATTTGTTAAATTTCAATATATGGCATCTTTTGGATGTGAAATGCTAAAAAGAAAACCTTTGATCTAAAAACACTAAGCTCGTCGTCTGGAGGACTCAAAATCTTTAGACCTCGGCCGAACTCGCAACTCTCTCTACCTTCAAAAGATGGAACCGATAAAGTTCCAGGTTTTCTTCTTCTTGTATCTAAAATCATTTTGTAAATCTTATTGAATTTCTAATCTAAAATCTTTTTGAATTATTCTAATATTTCTCGTACACTTCAACCCAGAAACCTTTGGGGATTCAATCCTATATTCACCCATATTCTTGTTTTCGTTTTAAACCGAATTTGTCATACAAAAAAAATGCTTTGTATGGAAAAACGGTTTGAACGAATACTAGAATATCAGTGATTGTTTGACTATTTTTAACAGCATTCAGTAGTGTTAAATTGGTTCGAACAATTCGAGCGGCGGTACCATGGTCAAGATGGCATAGACTCAAACATTTCGGAGACTTTCTGAAGACAGGTCTTAAGGATAAGGTTGGTAGAATCCACAAATGGCCGTGGTCATGGCTGATTTGCCTTGTAAAATCACCAATGTTGCCATTGTGGATTAAATCAATCTTGTCCTTAATTTCCAGAGTTCTCAGTTCTCAATTCGAAAATTATTATTTCGTTGCTAGATAGGAATGGAAAATTTAGCATTTCACAACAACCAGAACGCTCCGAAGATATTAGCACATTTTCACACCGATACACAAGAGGAACGAGAGAAAACTCTAAAGAAAAACAGGAATACCTATAAAATGCATATATGTACTGCACGAGCTGGAACGCAACCAACAACAGATTCATCATGACTCCCCATCAGACTATCTAACCAAATCGCAACTCAAAAACCTAAAACAATCTCTGTAGTACCCACATCTAACCTCCTAATCATGGAAGGATTTATATAGAATATATAAATATCAAAATTTTCAAAGTCTTGTAAACTCCTATTAGTGCAAAGTCCAATGGAATTGCGGGCTTTTAAAAACTTTCTTATCAATCAAATTTAGGGCAAACAAAATTTTAGCCGAATTTTCTTTCTATTTCCCACTTATTGTTTGGAATTTTAGTTGCTGTAAATCTATCGGATTCGTTGGTCTAGATCAAATCGAATAAATAGCATAACAATGATACTCATAGAATTAATATCCTCACAAACCGTTAATAAAAACGAACATCAGACAACAAAACACAACACAATAAAAATTCGGAATCGATCCCACTTCTCAGTTGCTGTAAATAACCAAAATTAGCATATCTCCCGCGTATACTTTAAGAAAAACAATCGATTAAGTGAAAACAAGAAAATCAACTAAATATGAAAACAATGGTTGCTGTTTTTTTTTTTAAATTAAACCTAGTAAGCTCTAGTTTCCGTAGTTTTGCGTAGTTATTTTTAGTTTGAAATCGTGGAAAAACAGAAAGTGCATGTTCACGTTAAGAAGGTAAGCAAAAGTAAGAAATATTAATTGTATTAATATTTGGGGCCCATAATCGGGGTTCACTATACAAAAACACACAACACACACAGTTAAACAGTTTTAACTAGATTAATATATATATCAAAGAGCTGTTAAAATGAAATAACACGTGTAATACGAATAAAATTTGTCATTTCTGCTGTTTTATTGGATCTAAAATGTATCCGACATCCGATCATAATTTACGGAATTATCGGCACTTGCTGAATAACTTTCTTCTTTGTGGCTTTTACAGCCGAACTGAAACTTTACGCCTGCACTCAACTTATTTGGAACACAAAAATCAAAGAACGGCGCCGGTGGTGTAGTGGTAAGCGTGATTACCTCTCACTCCAGCAGGCCGGGGTTCAATCCCAGTCGGCGCCACCGGGAGGTTCTGAGGGATAACATCTCTGATCACGCCTTCCTTCGGATGGGAAGTAAAGCCGTTGGTCCCCGGTTCATGAGTTGATGGGTCGATAGGGAAGGGTCCAGGTGTGGAATCTGCCTCCCTGGCGTTGGTAGCATTGGTGCTCAGCACGGAAAACAAGATCGACGGAAAAAACAAACCTAAGGAAAAAAAAAAAATCAAAGGGGTGGGAGTAAATTGAGAGCTTTCTAGTCTGTAAGGTTCGATGGGGTAAAATGTACCCCCGGGGAAAGATGACTTTTTGGCGTTTAAAATACCTTTTTTACCTCAACCAGTAACGCTGGCAGATCACCTTTCCTTGGTGCGTTACTGGTATAAGATTTACCTCCGAACCCTAGTCCTGACAGCTTCAAACTAGAACTATAAAGAAATCAGTCATGGACTTTGTCGTTCAGTTTTTCCCCGGATATTATTGTTACAATTAAATAAAAATAGTATTTTCCTATACATTTTTACTAGCTTTAATACCAGTCTCAAAAGAATCAAAAAATTCAAATCCAAGAGCGAATACTTGCTCTCACGAGCTCAATTTCTCAACATGCCGCGTTTCATAAGTGCTCTCAATTTTTTTGTTGGAAACCCGTATAGCACATTTATTAAGCAATAATCACAATAACCACATAACTAGAATGATTTAGTAAGAGTTGCTTAGCTAACTTGTATAAGCTTCCGTTCAACCTGCTTGACAGCAACTTTTAGTGTAGTTGAACAATGTGTGCAGTGATAGTGTTCGAGCAAGAACTATGCCGGCCACCGAAGGTCTTACTTTGCTGCTGTTTAGCAGCCACCAAAAAATGTACAAAGTCCGGTTTGCATGAACCGAATTACTGACCGGGGGCTTGGGTCGCCACAAGCCTTTTTCGTCCAGGAAACACCACTATTTCTTCAGATGTAGGCCACTTGAGAAGCTCGTCGACCTTTTCACTAAGGTCCGACTGAAGCTACACTAATTAAGTACCACCGCACAAATGACAAAGTCCCGCAAAGTTGCACGTCGAACGTTAAGTACCCAGACCGTGATAAGAAAGTGAAGCACAGAACTATCGACCGCACGTCTGTTTCAATACGTTTGTTAATGACTACTAATCTATATACAATTTTTACATAGGGAGTGGGTTTGCATCGATCGTTTTGGTTAACGGTCAGTGATCGGTGGACGGAGGCTGATTGCGCATGCGCGCTCTATCCACTCTTTACAGAGATATTTACACTGTAGGGTGTTGTGTTGTGCGTTTAGGTAGATATTTAAATAAATGCATGTTAGCTCCATCTCCAACATTCCGGCCACCTTGAAACGCGGAGGCGTTTCAACAATCATCAGTGACTTCAATAAATCGGTTGCGTGTTGATCTACGGTGCAGTTGATCGATTCCATCGTGGATCCTCGCCAAAGACATGGAACAAAAAATAAAGACCAGGTAGATCGAACGACGAAGCTTAGGGGTATTGGAAACACAATTACCTGAACTAAGCGCGGGTACGCTTCGAGCAAGTTTTCCCTTTCGGGTTGCTCTACCTGGATATTTAGAGGGCTGGATTCGGTGACGGTAGCAGAGCGATCCTTGCTACTGGACGGACGATGTCCTTGCCAGGTGCTGTTCGTAATGTGACGACTCGGACGACACCATCCTTGCCTGGATGGAGCTTGGTAATTCTACCGAGCGGCCAGCTGGCTGGAAGAACGTTGTCCTCCTTGACGATAACGATTCTGTCGACTTCCACAGTGACAGGTGGATTGCAGCCTTTGATAGCACGTGACTGCAATTGTTGCAGGTATTCGGGATACCAGCGAGACCAGATGTTCTGGAGATGTTTTTGGGTCAGCTCGTACGAATTTAGGCGATTGTCAGGAACCCCACGCAGGTCGGCTTCCGGAACAGCATGCAAATTACTTCCGACGAGAAAGTGTCCTGGAGTAAGAACCTCCATATCGGATGGCTCACTCGGCATTGATGTTAGCGGACGGGAGTTGAGGCACATCTCGACTTGGGCTAGGAGAGTCAACATGTCTTCGTAGCCGATGCTGATGTTCCCGATGGTCTTCAACAGGTGCTTCTTCGCAGACTTCACGGCAGCCTCCCACAAGCCTCCAAAGTGAGGCGCTCGAGGTGGAATAAATTTCCAACGGATCTCGTTCTCGGAACACCAGTTCAGGACTTTCTCACGGTCGGAATCGTTCACCTTCAGCATCTGGTAGACACGGTACAGTGCGTGCGAGGCTCCTTTGAACGTAGTGGCGTTGTCTGAATGCAGTTCAGCAACCTTTCCTCTGCGGGCGACTAATCGACGAAGAGCTGCTAGGAATGCCGCTGTAGTAAGGTCACTCACTAGCTCGATGTGCACAGCCCTTGTAGCGAAGCAGACGAAGATCGCTACGTATGCCTTCGTTGGGCTGCGATTGCGGACGGGTGACTTCAGTAAGAACGGTCCACAGTAATCAACGCCGCAGACGGAAAAGGGTCGAGTTGGTGAGACTCGGGATGCCGGTAGATCTGCTGTGCTCTGCTGGACTAGTGTGGGCTTGCTACGAAAGCAAGTGTGGCAATGGTGAAAGACGAATTTTACAAGATTTCTGCCGCCCAGAATCCAATACTTCTGGCGGAGAGTGGCTAGCAAGAGTTGCGGGCCTGCGTGCAGAAGCTTCAAGTGAAAATAACTAGCCAGCAGAGTCGACAGTGGATGTTTGGCAGCGAGCACGATCGGATGCTTGACAAAGTCGGAGAGTTCAGCGTTTCGCAGCCGGCCACCAACACGAAGGATACCGTCTTGATCGATGAATGGTCTCAGCCACTTCAGCTTGGATGACTTAACGACTCTTTCACCACTGACAAGATCGGAAATCTCTTCTGAAAATGTCTGCTGTTGTGTTAGACGACATAGGCGTAGTTCTGCACGTTGAAGTTCCATGGTGGTGAGTGGAGGAATTGGCTTGTCTTGAATGCCGATGCTGGTGTACTTGTCCGGATCTGAACGGCGCAGCGATGCACGTTCTCGTAAAGAACGAACGTAGCGTAAGCAGACAGCTGTAACACGACGAAGCTTGGAGAAACCAGAGTAACGAGCAAACAAATCGTCGCAGAAGTCCACCTGAACAACGGTCATCGCAACGAGTGTTGCCTTACGAACTTCTTCATCAGTCGCTCCCGTTTCTTCTTCGGATGGAATTGGTTTCGGCCAGGCTTCCGGAGCACGTGACAGCCACTCAGGACCGTTCCACCAGCGCTTGCATTGCAGAAGGTCCACTGGATTCAGTCCTCGCGAGATATCATCAGCAGGGTTCTCGATGCCAGCAATGTGTTTCCAGCAGTTCACGTCGCTTGCGTGCTGGATTTGCGCTACTCGATTCGCTACGAATGCCTTCCAACGGCTAGGCGATGATTGTAGCCATTGAAGAACGGTGGTGGAATCCGTCCAGAAGAAAGCAGTGGCAGATATCTTCAGGGCAGCATTCACCTTCTTGTAGAGCTGCGTCGATAATCGTGCAGCGCAGAGTTCTAGCCGGGCTATCGAATGCCGACTGGATAACGGCGCAACCTTGGATTTGGCCGTCAGAAGTTGAATTGAAACACCGTCACTAGTTTCGGCCCGCACGTAACAGCAGGTCCCATACGCTCCCTTGGAGGCGTCGGCGAAGAAGTGAAGCTGAATGCTAATAGCGTTAGGCAGCGAGACGAATCGTGGAACACGAACTTCACTCAGTAAATGGAGAGTAGCATGAAAATTTTTCCATTTTTCTTGCAGCTTGCGGGGAAGTGCACACGGCGAATGAGAACGACTCAAATTTGAGTTTAGTTCACTCATAATCGCCAAAAGTGCAGGAACTTAGCGATGAGTAAAATTTGTCCCATGGTTTCCTGTGGAAAACCTAAAAAATCTGCCGGAAAATGAGGAAATTGACGAAAATTTTATTCAGTCCCGGAGTAGTACCAATAGACTGAGTGAATCCAATCTTTACTTTTCTCAAATTCGGGAATTTTTCCCTGGAAAATCCTGGAAAAACCTGGGAAAACATGAGGCAAATTAACTCATCGCTGAGTTCCTGCACTTTTGGCGATTATGAGTGAACTAAACTCAAATTTGAGTCGTTCTCATTCGCCGTGCAGTATCCCATTCGCAATCTTCACCATTCTGCTTCAAGGCCCACAAACGCTGCATGAAGAAGCTTGACGAACCGGTAGACGATGACATTCCTCATTGCCTGAGTGGTGCGAAGTGAAATTTTCTTCATGTTGGTAGTGTTGAAATAAACGTTTCATCACCGTCGGTTGGTAGAGAGAAGTGTCAAACGGCTTTTTGTGCAGAGCCGATTCGTGACTTTGTGATTGTTTGTTGACATTGTTCATAGCTGGAGTTTTTACGGAGTGGAATAAAATTCAGAATGAAGTGTTTTGCTCACTTTTGCAATTATAAAGATGGACACGACGAAAAGCGAAGCCTATTCAGGTTTCCCAAGGATTCAGCAGTACGAAAAGAGTGGCTCAGTTTCTGTGAGGTGGATCTCAATTTTGTTGTTTATTAATTTATTTGATAAGGCTCAACCGAATTAACTTTACAGAGCCGAGGATTCTTGGTCACTATACAATACATCTTAAAACTATAGTCAAAAGGTACAACACAATAAACACTTTATCTTCCGCTATCCAAAAAGCCTCCTCCATCAGAACTGGAGCCGCTTCCAGTAGTTTCATTGTATGGCAAATTGTTGTACGCCAACGAGGGTCAGAGCGCGTCCACTGCAGCAATGGACGCAAAACGTGGTCAGCACTCACACACTCATCACGAAACGGTTGCTTTCCAAAGTCGACGACGCATCGACCGAAAGAACTGCTGATGAAGAACAATGAGGAGGACCACACAATGGTTGCTGCCGAAAAAACAGACAATCGAGTAGCACACATCGAGAGTGGCCTGCTTTTGTCGACAGTCGAGTGAACACTGGATCTCAATTTTCAAATCATTTAATCTCATCCCTGTTTTGCTTCTGTCTGCAAAATATACTTTTCATTTCAGGGAAGTCAAGAAAGAATAAACCCTGACACATCCTCTACCTGACTTGCAATCAAACATAGTAATTTTTATTTGTATAAATTGTTGCAAATCAGATGCAAATTTAATGTGGCCGACGATATCTATGGAAGTGCTGTCGAAATTCCCTGGGACCTCCAATGGCAACGATTTGACTTCCCTCCAAATCGTGTGAAACTCGAACATGAAAACTCTATAGAACCCCCGTAGAACCTCGCTGGCAGCAACTAAAATATCCACTGAAACCTCTTCTGTCGCGGGAAAAATCTGTTGAAATTTCCTGGAACTTTTGTACTATCATCACAAATCTCCTTAGAACGTTCTCCGAAGTCACAGTCGTTCCTGAGCGAAAAAAAATCGGAGGGGTTTTTTCAGCGCAGGAGTCTACTTTGGTCCAAAATACGCAATAATACTGTTATTTTTAATTGTTTGAGTTGTTTCGAATCACGTTTTTAAAAAGATCAAAAACATTACTGAAAAATATTTATTTTTTATTTTGGACGATAACAATACTTCTATCTATTTCAACGAACCACAATGATAAAAAAGTGGTTCGATTTGACAGCTCGAAAGTGGTTCGATTTTGAGGTCCGTCTTCGCACCACTCAGCTCATTGCTACATCCCGCACCACGCTGTCTTCAAGGAGTTGAGTACAACAACGAAGGTCAGGGTCGTATTCGACGCGTCGTGCAAGACGTCGTCGGGATATTCACTGAACGACACGTTATAATTGAAACTGTTTGCATGATCGTGTTAAACTCAATACATAGTGTTGCAAAAAAGAAGTCTTTTTGAGTATAATCACAAACGAAGTGACAGATGGAGTGGGCTCGAAATTTGATCTGACGCACTTACATTTGAAATTTTCGAGTGTACCTCACGGCAACACTATCTTCTCATATGTACTAGCTTAAGAGGCAACTAACCATCACTCGATTTGCTTTTGCTTCTTCTTCTTGTAATCCTAAATCATCACTTTCTAAAAGTATTGGTAAAATTCGTTGGTAGCGTGCGTCGCCGTGCCAAAACAGTCAATGAATCGGATATATCAACTGGTATGGTGAGCAAAATCTGCCGTCTCTTTTATTCTTTTACTTTTCAATACAACAGCAAATGTGACGTTACACATGCACGTGTATAAGAATGTCGTAGACAAAACATTCACACTGCCAGACTACGGTGTATGACATTTCGTTTACACCCCTGAGCGGGAAAGCAAATAACATGCTACATGCAATGCTGCCATCTCCCCTGTTTCTGTTTATTTCAATCTTTGATTACCTTTGTAATTGGAACGTTTAAGTTCCAAAAAAGGACCTTTTATTTTTATTCATTAATTTTTTGATATTTATTCGCCATTAAAAACATCCACTCATCTAAGTTATTGGGTTGAACTTCGTATTGGCATGCTTAAAAAAAATATATTCAATGCTAGAGGTAATACATCTGGCAACGCTTGATTCAATGATTCTTCTACGTTCGCTAGCAAAGAAGTGGAAACGAAGTGATTTTTTTGGTGTTTTGTTTTGTTCACCAAGAGATTTGACTTCCAGTTTTTATACATTTAGTGTATACGATTACGTGAAATTGTGGAATGCTACGAAGAACACAAGTAAGTAAATGCAGTGATAGTGTTTTACCCAGAAAATATACGATGTAAAGTTATGAAATAATTGCTTTAAATTTTCGGATGGCTTGTGTGTGAATGTATGTGTATATTAATGATGATGATTGAAGAAGATTTCAAAAACAAGAAGAATCCCAATTGATTGCCTGTGTCTTGAACCTTAAGGTTCAATTTACTTTGATGCATTTTCGAAAAATTCAAAAGCAGTTTTTTCCGACGCATTATTTCGGATTGCTAAAAGCTCGCGTCATTTTGTTTCGAATAGCAAAAGGAATCGAATAGTGCAAGCATTTTGCAATCTGAACTAATGCGTTGAAAAAAACTGCTCTTCAATTTTTCGAAAAAGCATCAAAGTAAATTGAACCTTAAAGCAGTTGATGCTATTGGGGTAACGCCTGTTACACACTAAGATTTTGGTTCCGTGTTCGGTAAATTTTACTGAAATCAGAACAGCTGAACGTTCGGTAAAACTTTGACCTTCATTTTTAAGGCTATTGAATTTGAAAATAATTTGAAAACATGTCCAACCTTGTTTCAATGATCAAATCCTGTCATTTTAGTGGAGATTAAGTTTCAAAGTAGCTGAAAAGCAATTGAATTGAATTGCATAAATTTTACCGAACAGTTCAGCCATAGAGGTAACTCTAAGACCACTGGGTCCCGAAGAAAATCATTATTATTTTTCGCTCACTCAGTACCAGAACAACGGTCCCAAGCAGTCCCAAGCTATTTCACTCACCCCTGCATGTTCTGCATGAATCCACACACCCCTGATGTTATCTGTCAAACTTTCATAGCGAATCAAAACAAACATAGTGTAGTAATAGAATTTCAACTAGAATAGGGTACGTTAATCGTTTGCTTGGGACCAATAGGCTACTAAAGTGATGAGCCAATTTAAAATCGTTAGTTTCGTATTGATTGTTGGTTCAGCTGTTCAGATTTCGATAAAAATTACTGAAGTCGGCGATAATTTCTAAGTGTGTATGTCTTTTTCTCTAACGAAAATTTTAAGGAAGAGCCTGATGTCAAACAGCATGTTATTATGTCGCTTTCGTTGTTTTCTGCACTTCTTTTGTATAATGAAAGACCATAGACCAAAATGATTAGGGGTGAACACATCGGGTTAACATTTGCTTACAAGTAAACGATGTTGAGCTATCAATGATTCGCGCTTGTTGGCGGCAATTGTTGGTACAGATTTCATCATTCCGTGCTTCTAACCAAAGCCACACTCATTCGCGACCGAGAAGACATCGTTGTTAGACGCCAAACAGGACCCGGCCATACTCGGTATGCATTCGCTCTTCCTTAGCGGAACCGGACATGATAAATTTAGTCACTAAAGTTTCTTTTTTACGACCTATGTTGAGAATAAAGAGTACCGTAAAACGGGGTAATATTGATAATTTTTTAAGAATATTCTAAATATTTTTTGTAGCAATGAATATTTTTTTAAATTTTATATTTTTAAAACAAGTACTGAGGATTCAAGAGTTAATTCGTTAGTTATTTGTTTAACGGAAATTAAAGCATTTGCACTATTTTTATAGTTGTGTGACCGAACATCAGTATTTTGATTTGGGGTTACTTTAATAATGCTCGATGAATATAGTAAAAAAATCGTGAAACTCATAATTTTCAGTTCTTTAAACATGAAACTTTGAATGAGTATATAATCAGACAACATCATAGGCAATAAGAATACAATATTGAATTTGTGATGGCTATAGCGGATATATATTTCGTAAATGATGGTTTGAGGGCTTTTTCAAACCGGCGAAAAATACGAAAATGGTTTTTTAATATGTTTGTAAAATATGTAATACATACTATATAAAAACTATATACGATATCAACAGAAATACCCTAAGCTACAATATGGAACCAATATTTCTAATTTAGCAAAAGCGCAGCGAGTAAATTTAATCTTTACATTATACTATCAAAGTTACCCGCATTATCAAAGATACCCCGTTTTACGGTATGACTTAAAAACCTCATCAAAGCTCTTGAATAGCTAACGAATTGGTGTTGAAAAAGAATTACTTAAAATCAGAGTGTAAAGTCTAACTAGAAGAGATGGAAGTAGGCGGAACCGTCGAGTGCCCAATCGGTGTTGACAAAATCTCAGAATCTCTGTGTACT